ATCCCCTCAGCAGCAGCGTTACTACTACTGCAACGACACCACCCAGCAGCAGCAGCAGCAGCAGCAGCAGCAGCAGTGGCATTATGGACACCATCATCGTTAACGTCATCACCACCACCACCACTACCAACATCACCAACATCATCACACGAGCTCGGCAGCGTGGTGTCCGTATAGAGAATAGATCCGGATATGTTCGTCTATTGGAGACAATCATCCTTGAAAGTACTCAGTAATCTTGCAGCATCGCTATGTGCGTTGTCGAGGAACCTGTTCATCTCCGGCACTGGGAGTTTTATTGGTTGATTAATGATGATGTAATTCGGCGTCGCCGACGGTTGGCATAGATTAGCATGGATTAGCATGGTTGGCATGTTCTACAGAATATCACTTGTCGAGGATCCCCCTGCTTTGGATGAAATGGACTGTGCCATTGTGATGCAGGTTGTTTCCAACAAGGAGCTTGGCAATGAGTTACCCGGACGGGATCATTACCTCATTTGATCGCCAGACGCCAGACAAACAACAGACATGGCCTGAGGGCTGTGGATGGTCTTCGCCCCTCAGAGACCGCTCAGGTACGTATGCAGTAATCGGCTGGGGCGGTGTGACCCGCCACTATCTGATGATCTTCCTTCCTTCTTCCGACCCATCACTGCATCACTGCAACCCTTTGGAGACAAGGCGTGCCACGCATGCTTGCCTGACTCTGCGCGTATGAACCAGGGGTTGAGAAGAACAAAACCTCAGAAGGTCAGATGCTCAAGCATGAGACAATTCGTCTGACAGACTGATCTCCAAAAAAGCCAAAAGGGCAAATCTCCTAGTGTACAGCTACAGCACCGCTGCTGCTGCTGCACTGCTGATCATCGGGTAGTTTGTGGTGTCCACCTCGTCTCTGTAACCCTTTCCGGATTCGCCTTCCATGGCCGGCCGAGGTATTTTGTTTCGTGCACAGGCAGGTACCGACCACCAAAGCAACCCAGTCATCAACCAAGGGATCTCCCGAAGCCAGTTCTTGTCTATTCTTATTCGGGCTTGGACCGTTCTCTTCTGACCGTGGAAAAGCTGCGTTTATGCGTTTACATCAGCTGTCGGTCGCCTTCTGGCTCGAACTCGTACTGTCGACGACGAGTTCGACCCAGTAAATCCCACCGCGGTCGATCCTAATCCCAAAAGCGATTGACAGCGAAATCCCCCCTCATCGGCATTTACGATCGGGTCGGGCCTGGATATGGACAGCATACATACACTAGCCGCGCATGCGAAACAAAAAAGTTTGACACGGATACTCCATACATACATTCAGTGGACGGTGTACGGCTGGAAGAACTGGGCACTGGACATGTTTCGTTGTCGACGTCATTGATCAGACACAAAATACTTGTATAGTCGAGTCAGAGGTGATCAATCACGGGAGGGGGTTTTGGTCTGTGTCTTCAAGGTTGCTTCCATCAAGCCCCCAAGAAGAGACGTCTTAGTCATAGACGGATTACATGCACTCCCATTATGCATAAGCTATCCATGCATTTCGCCTGTTCCTTGCCTTGCAGTTGGTAGGTCAACTTGACTTAATTCTCTGCACAGGCCACCCAGTGCCCAAAATTCAAGCGATATACCGGTCGCAAATAAGCAAACAAAGTCCATCCATCACACGGACGAACATTTAACCCTAACACTTAGTTAGTCAGCCACCTCCTGGGTCAGGTTTCTGAGTACCAGTGAGGCTTTCAGGTCTTTCGCCAATTCTTGCTCCATCTGTTTTTTTTAAGGTTTGCTTGATGTCTCTCGTTGGCTGTCAACGCCACGATAATCTCCGGGAGGCCTCTCATTCTAGGATGATCCCTTGGACAATTGGCCCCCAAAGCAGGCGCAGAAAGGAAAGGAGTGGCAGACCGGCATTAGGCGATAATTCGTCCAAACTTTCCCAAGATTTCCCTTGTAGGCAGCCTGGCCTAGCTGTTTGTGGCTTAGGGGAGCGCTCCCAAACCAAGACCTGCCATCTGCGCATCGTGCCGCAACTCCGTCATCCGGCCCCAAGGGCTTGGTTTGTGGATGGACGCAAATCACGGACTCATTACCCTTTTAGAATTGTGTCGATTCAGTCACCTTGGTCAATAATCTCACTCTGCCCATCTTGAGATCCATCCTCCGATCTACAGCCCTGCCTTCGGCGCAGATGCGCCTATTTTGGGGTGGTGGCAGGTTCTCCCTCCGCCCCCCTTTTATGAAGGGTTAATGAAGGTCGATCCCGTAAATTTGCACTGATGAAATGATATCTACCCTGGGGAATGGACCAGTTTCCCGCTAGAAGCTAGAGAGAACGGATCGAACTCGAGAGCAACCAGGGTTGGCATGGGACCTAGGACACTGTGAGTTCCCCGGACTGGTGGTTTCGACTACAGCAGCAAGCCATATCTCGTCTCTGTTGAAGTCATGACTGTATTCAAGGTTGATTGATGGGTTTGTGTACCTGGAAAGGGTGGCATTTCTCGGGCGGCAAATGTTCCTCCACTGATCTACGACCGCAGGCTCCTCCGAGAGACAAAGGGACCGACCGATCTACAGACGAACAATGACGATGAAGATGATGAAGACGATGATGATGCATAGTACATAATTCAAGGTGGGAAGTTGGTCTTGGAAAATGAGATCAGGTTCTCAAGCGATGTGTGTGATCGTGCGGCAACGATCAGCCGTTTATGGGGCATGGGATCGTTGTGACAGGTAAAACCTGGACGGAGGCTAGCCCTTTTCTCTCTTGTCTCCTTGGGTCTTTTTCATTTTTCATTATAATGATGATTATTATGAATCCTCCAAACGATCGGCTGGTGAGAGGGGCCCTCTCTGTCGAATCTGGCCATTACCGCGATAATACCGGGTGGGTAATGGGCATGGGATCCATGGGGGAGGGGGGCTAGGAGGGCGCCGGCTCACCCCCCCCTCCCTTCTCTTCTCTCACTCTCCCACTCTCCCCATGATGGATGATGATCGATGATTGATTCCTGGCGGGCGCATGATGGAGAAGGAAAGGTGTCCGTGGATCTGCACTAGCGCCAGACTTACTGTAGCCGAGCCCCGAAAGTACCGTTGGTTTTCCATCGGCCGATCTGTCGGCCTCCGTACGACGCAGTTACGTACGCCTGCTTGGTCTTTTCATAGGAGCGCTGTCTGGGCAATTTATTTTCCCTTTTTCTTAATCCCCCCGTATTATTATTTTATCCTCTATATTGCTCCGTCCACGAACGGAGGTGTTTCCTACTTCTATACAGACACTCCACTAGCTTATAGTTGAACGGAAGAATAGTAGGTAGAAATGTCTCCGACGTTGAATCCTTTTTCATCTTGCTTTGATGTCATGGGTCTAAGTCTAGGGTTTCGCTGATTCAGCGAGCAATGGAAAAGGCTTCTTCCGACAGTAGTAGTGCTGTCGCTGTCTTCCAACGTTCTGGTCTTCTTAGTCTTTCCTGATCTTTGGGAACCCGTCGACTTGACCCAGGGTACAGTACATACAGCCCATCGTGCGGGTGTGGATAGGCGGAGGAGGCGCACGTTATTTTAGCTCTCGTCGAGCCTACCCAAAACGATAAGCTAATGGCAAATCATCCTTTTTTAGTCGCGTAGCTACTGTACGGTATGCGAAGGAGGAGGATGAGGGGAGAGAGGGGACTCCAGTATAGGCGTGGGGACAACACATGCGTTACGGTACCAGTCCAGCAAAGACAATAATGAAAGGCGATTTTTCCCCTCGGAATTTATTACGTCGCTTATCGAATCAGACGCGGCCAAAATAATTAAACGAAGGGACCGGAGAACCACCAGCGCAAGTCATCGCGTGTACTCCGTACCGGGTCAGTGGTCATTAATTAAGCTTTGAGACGGTGGTATCAGCCCTTGTCGAAGCGAATCGAGAATGACCGACGATGGATTTTCCCTGTGGCTAGAGTAGTTAGTGGCCACTGCGGGCTTTCGGGGGGAAAAACATATACGTACTGTTACAGTTAAGCGGTTGTAAGCAGCATTAGCAGCAGCAGCAGCGGCGAAGCGCGCGAAAATAAGGAATGTAGCCTATAGTAAATTATACTTTGTGTCGTCTATGTAGTTACATGATGTGTGTGTGTATGTGTGTAGGACAGAGTGTTCTGTCCCTGGCCAGGCACAATTTTTTTGCCATTTTATTTTATTTGTTTTTCTATCCTCTCAGTTGCATTATTTTCAATGAATAAATCCAAATAGGGGAGGTTCGCGGCGGCGGCCTCTCCCGCTTTTCTCCTTCTTTTCAGTTTCTCGGCTCCATCTTCAACGCACACACTGTCTTTCTCTCTCTCTCGCTCGCTCTCTTCCTTTTCTAACTCTCTTTGTGGTTCCACTCGTCGTCTAACGCTACGGCTGGAGTTTACCAGCGCTATAATTAACATTTGATTGATGTGCAGTTTTTAATAAAATATCTAGTATTCTTTTCCAGTTTTGACTAGGATGGAAGTCCATCTTTCCTCCCACATCCCCCCTCCACTTCCCTCCACTTCCCTCCACCTTCCCATCTCCCCCTCCTCCCCCCTTCTCCATCCTTTCCTTCCCGAAAGAAAAAAAAAACCAAAAAAGACCAAAAAAGAAAAAGAAAATTAATTCTTTTTTCTCGAAAATAATTCCATGATTGTCAACCCTGCATCTCCACCATCGCTCTGGGTCTATAAACCAGTTCCTCCTCCTGGTTCTCATATCCACCCCCACCCTGTCTCGACTACCGTGCCTGGATTGTTTCTTAGATTGGATCTCTTATACCCCGTTCCATCAGTTCCCCTCCAGACTTCTTCATATATGAACTCTGGGTAGCCGCCTTTTCCTGAACCTCAAGAGAAATAACCACTTACCTTTTCTCCTTCTTCCCGGTCCAGCCTCGAACTTCACCAACACCAACAGTTGTCCACCACTACCACCTCTACCACCACCACTACCACCACTACTCTCAGCTAGTACAACGATCCTCACCGTCGCCCATCATGGATCTCGCCAGCCTTATCACTCAACCGGGACCAGATCCTCTCGCAATGAGGATGTCAAGAGCCTCTTACAGCCCCCCTGCGCCTCGCGTGGCTTTGTATAAGCGCGCACCGGACTCATACTTCGCTTCCGTGCCGGTCTCTTACTCCCGCGCCCCTCCTTCCCCGCCGGTCGAGGAAATGCCCCCCAAATGCTCTCTCCCTTCTATCTCGACCCTGCTCGAAGGCGCAGATGGTGCCTCCATGCATGCAGCTAGTATGGCAACCTCCCCATACTCTTCAAAACAGCCCATTTTGGACCATCATTTCGGTCAGTGCTGACCGTCGCAATGCAGAGCGTGCAAGAGTTACTCCAGTTCAACGCGAGCTGGACACCCGCCTTCCTTCGCAATCCTTGGATGCGATGAAGGCCAATGGCCCCCAAATCGGCCTGCCACCTACGCCTCCATTGCGTCCTGGTTCAGGGTTCAACAGTGTCAGCCACTCTCCCACCTCATCGATCTCCGCCGTCAGTGACGGTGCCGCCGCGAACCGCGCAGAGCCATACTCCAAGGCGCCGGTGAGACTCCCCAGTCCATCGGATCGGTCTTCCATCTCTAGCCAGGGCTCCGTGGCTCCTGTCTCCGCCGCGCCTTACGTCTCCCCCGCCCCGAGCGTCGCTTCTTACTCCTCTCCCATTGAGCCCTCGGCCCCCTCAGCCATCTACTACCAGAGACCGACCTCCTCATCGTCCACCTACCAGCCGTCCAGCAGCGTGCCTCCCTCCACTGCGCCTCTGCCAACCGCCGCGCACCAACAGATGATCTCCCCTGTCACCCCGGCCTGGCAGCATCACCACTACTTCCCTCCCTCCAGCACGACCCCCTACCAGCAGAACCACGACCGATACATCTGCAGAACGTGCCACAAGGCCTTCTCGAGACCTTCCAGTCTCCGCATCCACTCCCACAGCCACACCGGAGAGAAGCCTTTCCGCTGCACCCACGCGGGTTGTGGCAAAGCCTTCAGCGTGCGGAGCAACATGAAGCGACACGAACGTGGCTGTCATACCGGCCGGCCCGTTGCCACCGCCATGGTATAAACATACCATTTACCGGCAAACCGAGAAAAAGCACAAAAGCCATGAGAGAGGAAATTGTTTCTTCTCTCCAGATTTTTCTCCAAATACCCATGACTCCCAGCGACACTTCTTTTGCTCTGCATTGCTTCTTCTGATGATACCCTTTTGCTTTGCGTGTTCATATATACCATTTTATCTTCTTTCTGCTTCTTTGCGTCGAACAAAAATCTCTGTTTTTGTGTGCAAAAAGCTTAGGAGGGCGGGGAGCTACGGTGTATCACCAAAAAGAGGTCTCCATACATATTTTTCTTCTCTTTCTCACCCTGTGTATATTTGAATGATTTTTTTATACCTCATCACCCCGCCCAACACCATTCTTGTTTATTATCGTGCGAAAGGAGCAGGCATCGCTTGTGGATGATGGTTTTGGGAGAAACACACCATAGTCGTTGTTCCGTGACAGCTAGAGGCTGTTGCAGGGAACGAATATGGTGAACAGAAGCTGGAGTCCCTTGATTCTAGTTTCTCTTTTCTTATTTGTTTTTTATGAGTTTATTTTGTTGTGTTATGTGTTTCCTTGTGTCGTCTCATTTCCTTTGTATCCAATGATGTGACATGACCACCTTGTGAACAAAAGACTATCAATATTCAATATCATGATTATCTCAAAAATTACTTTTCGTCTTCCGTAGAGGATGATTGCAACTGGATGTAACTCAACGGAAGTCTCTAAGAGGAAGGGAGAGAGTTCACGCCGAATCAAGCGCAGTCAATACCTACTAGGGATGAAACCCCTCTTTGTTGTGAGTTGTCACTTTTTCTTCTCATAACCCAAAGTCAACTCAGGCATTGACCTCCCTTCCTCGTCTCCTCCCGAGCAAACCGCTCTACCCTGCCTCCATGGGCTCAACCCCTATGGGCAGTCCAAGACCGTTGTCCTTATGACTCCAAATTATTATTACACATTACATGTCCCAAACAAAGAGCACCCAGCCTCCTCGGCGGCGGCTCGGGACGCAACTCCGTCACCACAGTCACATCTCCCCATCAGCCATCGGCCATCATCACCGCCCCGGTAAGCACCCTCCGTGATCAGACGCTTTTGTTTTCTTCCTTCCATCCGAGTCGAACGTAACTGTACACGCAAACCTTAGTCGAAGACATCGAAAGTCAATATTAAGTTAAGCAGGAACCTTGTGCCTTGTACTGTACTGTACTGTATGTTTTTTGGGGGGGGGG